TTTAACCTTGTTGTAATAATAAAGATTTATTTATTTACAGTGGCAGGAAAAGGGGGGAAACTAAAGGAACAACGAAATATCAACAACAGCAAAAACACTGGTATTGAAGTTATCAGTCAGTACATCCCATAATAACAGCTGCTACGTTTGATGCAGATCCATATTAGAGTAGAGCGGCTAAGCTGCAGGAGAAAAGCTTCATTGAGCTGAACACTGAGCTACAGTCAGAGGAGAACAGACGGACTCTGCAGTGATGTCAGGACTCTTACAGAGCAGAATCAGAACTCTCTCTGTGTCCATGATGACTCATCATCAACCGCTAACATCCGAGCGCTAGCTGTCACCACCAACAACACAAGCAGGCCTGTTAGCTCTGTTTGTACAGTCAGCACAGAGATGAAGCCGACAGACAGCGACAGGGCGACTCGCTCTAACCCTTTATCACGGGCATCATCGGCTGACTGTTGTGACCTCTAAACTCCCTGCACTCAGGGGTCAGCAGCCCCCGCGGCAGCTTCACGTTAGCCGTTAGCTTCGAGGGGGACTCAGCAGAATAAAAACATGAGCTGACACGAGAGATTTAACCTCAAATCTGAGAGGGACTTTATTTCTGTTCTGTCATCTTTTCAAGGTTAAAATGTTTCATGTCGGATTAAGCAACTTCTAAAATGTGAGATTTAAACAAAACATTAATGCACCACAAAACGCCACAGGAGGTCATTCCTGCCCGTGGCCATCAAACTTTATAACTCCTCCCTTTGAGTGACAAACACGCCGTCTGAGCCGGGAAAAAAAAAAATGTAACCTCCACCATAACTCATTATTTATTAAAACTGCAATATAATAATAATGAATAACATGTCCATGATAACAAAGTGCAATATTGAAACAAACAGTGCAATAATCTTGAAAATGTATATTCCTCTGACTCTTATTCATGTAAATATTTCTTGTACCTATTATTGAAATCTTACTTACGTTCCTATTCTATTTGATTAATATTTTTATTACTATATTTCTACTGCTATGTTGTATATTCTGGAGCAACTGTAACGACTGAATTTCCCTCTGGGATTAATAAAGTATTTCTGATTCTGATTCTGAAAAAATGTCTCCATTTCTGCGGGAAAAAAATTGCCGATACCGATACGCTAATATCGGCCGATATTATTGGCTAGCGGATTAATCGGTCGGCCTCTGATTTGCACTACTATCCAATTACTATTCCTATTCCTCTCATCTAAAATTGTCTTTACCTAAGTGTTACAAGGAGTTTATTATAAAGGTACGTTATTTAAAATATTGAGGCTGTAAATCTTAATATCTTACTATTTCAAACCTGAAAAAATCCAAAATACAGAAGCTGTAAATGTTTGACAGATGCAAAATGTTGGATTCTAATGAGATCAGTGTGATCCAGCGAAACACCAGGATTGTTCAGATTGTCTTTAATGAATATAAAACATTGGAGCGACTTTTCACACTAAAACAAAGGTGATATGATGAAGTGGAAAAGTAGAATTTAATGATAATAATTTCATAATTCAGTTAGCTTTATTAGGTTGTCAGAATATGGAGCGTCCTGTAAAATGAATCAATCAAAGCTGCACTTGTTTTGTACGTTGAACAGATTGTGTGAGTGTCTGTTCGGACAGTTTGAAACAACACTGCTCATTAAGCTTCTTTGGGATGAATTAATAATAACACAGAAGCCACAAGCGACTTTAATGGTCATGCAGAATGACGAGTGAAACTCTACTTCTTCTGCAGATTCTTTCTAATGAGAGTCTGCAGACGACGACAGAAATATTAAATGCACAGAAAAGGTGATAAAAGACGTTTCTAAATCTGTTACTGGTGAGAGAAAATCAGCTTACTCCTGCCATGTGCACCCAGAATCATGATCATCAGCTTTCTCTCTGTTCCACATTTGCCTTTTGCTTTTAAGTAAAAGTGGGAAAAAAAAGCTTTTAATACGTGCAAATTGCTTCATTATCATCATGATAAGCTTTATTTCACTGCCGGCTCTGACATTGTTTTCATATCTGCAGCTTTGTATTTACGGTGTGTGTGAGACTCAGCGCTGAGATTTCCCACCACTAATCCCCCGCGCCTGAACTGAACGTGCTGATTTTTTCATCCCATCAAAGGTTAATACCGGCGGCTCATTTCACTGATTAGTTCGCGCCCGGAGAGAAGACGATCATCAGCAGCAGCTGCAGAGATGACGGGAATATAAAACCTGCTGCAGGATTATGCGACACACGGATGTGGCCAATAAAACAGAACACCATGAAATGAGGCGCTCTGTGAAGTTTGTTTACTGTGCAGCCAAACATGAAATGCTTTTGGTTTGTGGCTGCATCTGAAAAAAATCAATTGTTTTATTTGATTATCCGTTCCCCAGCTGGTAACAATAAGTCCACACTGCAAAAAGTCAAATCTCACCAAAAGTATTTGTCTAGTTTACAAAGTATCTATAATAACATAAAAGTCTCTCATTACACTTGAAAGGAGGCAAATTCACCTGGCAAGTTCTCCATCTGCAAAGTGTTTCCTCTATGTACTGCAGTTTATCAAAGTATCCTCTTTCATCCACAGTTATCACAGTGTTATTGTCCCTGTTAGAATCGCTCATTCCTTAGTTTTGGATGTATTTTCTGAATATTAGCTAAGTCTAATTCACAAAGCATAAAGCACGAGTGATATTCAGACACACACAAGACAGAGTCGGAAAGTCGAAAGTTGTGTTTCTCCGGGCAGTTTGCTCTTGTTTTGTGTCTAAATGTGGAGAGAATCTGCGCTCTCATGCTGACGGAGCTCAGTTCTGATCACATAAAGATGAGGAGCGAGGACAAAGCTCATGACAAAGCTTCCTCACTGAAAGGAGCAAGAAACAACAACTTGCATCCTCGTCATGCGAAAAGGTTCCAGACCTTCTCCTCATATGTGGATCAAGTTTTATTTTTGGCCTTCTAACGCATCTATTTTGGAGATAGAACAGGAGATACAGTCAGAAAGCAGGGAGAGAGAGACAGTGGGGAATGACATAAAGGAAAGCAGCCATAAGTCAGACTGACCCTGGGCCACCTGCTTGGAGGACTACAGCCTCCCTACATGGGGCGTGCGCTCAAACCACTAGGCTGCCTGCGCCTCTTGGATGAAGTGTTGAGCCGCTGACAGACCCGGACTGATTTAAGTACCGGTTATATTTATAATGTCAAAGTTATATCTCCAGACTTTATTTACAGTTTGTTGTGACATGTCTTTTAAATACGACGGCGCAGTTTCCACCAACTCTCAGCAGACGGTAATTATTCCGCTCCAACTGCTTGTGGCTGTCAGCGCGAGTGTTTGTGAACAAGAAGCTTTCAGCAATGAGGCCAATTCTTCCCCAAATTATTGCTTAACTGCTCATTTTAATAAGAAGCAACATCACTGGAGCACAGAGGTGCATTGAGTTAGTTAGTTGTGCATTTAACCCTTTGTGTGTGTGTTTTGTGAATTAGACGCTGTGTCTTTTGGTCTCGTTGGGTTTAGCAGTCCTTTGTGAATCACGCTCCCAGTGCGCTGAATGAGGAAGAAGACGTTTGTGATGCACCAAACTAGTGCTAAACAAAGTGGCTTGTGTATGGCAAAATAAACTGCTGTAAATATTCTAAACATAGCCTAAAATTAATTTAATTTAAAGTCATTGTTTTTATGTTGATAATTCTTAAGATTTGCTAAATTACATTTTGAAACTGGCCCTGCCTGCAGCTATATATAGGCTAGCGGTGTTGTGACAAGAAATGCATGCCTGCCGAGAATTGAATGCACCTGGCTGGAGAATGGAAAATGTGACAGACAAAAATTCAATGCAGCCATTATTTGCATCCACCCCCAACGCTCCCATCCACACACTTCAGAGTCAATCACTGTTAGCGGCTCACAGCAGACAAAGTGAGTCTTTAGAACACTAAGGACACTTTATATGTTTATCATCTATAAACTTCAGGGACTTTTTCATCCCTGCTCTGCCCCCAGAAATAATACTAATACAGTTTCAAAACTGCATGCAATTCTCAGGAGGCAGCCGTTTCTCGGCAGCACTCTGAAGGTTTCTCAACAAAGGGGCGGAGCCACTCGTCATCTCCTGTGTCTAACACACTCACTACTGACAAGTGCCTCATACAAACCCTGCTAAAACGCTACAGAACTATCCCTCTTTAAATGAGAGTACAAAAACCCTGAGAAACACTGGACTGCATTACAGTGATGCTTTCAAACTAGTGTTCCAAAACAATCCTTCAGGTTATTGTCAGGCGTTTAACTAGAGCAAGAAATAGATAGCCTTCTAGGATTTCTTTTTATATCCTACTGGTTGCTAACACAACTCTGAAGGTTCAGGACAGAGGTTTACCCAGAAGGTTTAAAGGGACCGATAGTCTAAAAAAAACTCTTTTAATAAAGCCCGACATAAAGGTGGCCGACAGCTTTTGATCGTTGGAATCATCAAAGGGTTAAACATCACTCCGCCCTGCTGTTCTCTGTACCTCTCCAACCATTCGATCTGTGCCTGTGACTGAGCTGCTGGCTCTAACTTCAGTTTAAAAACACACGATGAACATATTCCATCTTCTTCAGGGCAAACATGGCTCGAACGAGTAAAATGCAAAAACAACCCAAGACACACAAACAGATGCTCCACCTTGTTCAGATGTGTTACCTTGTGTTGTAAATGGTGTATAAGGGCACATCCCAGTCAAAGACAATTTGATGCTTTTGCATGGAAAAGGAGGAAAAGCATTTTCTATTTCAATTCTATTTTGTGCAAAACTATAACTTAGCTTGAGTATCGATGTGACCCTGTATGTGTAAGGCAAAGAGCCGGCTGTGCTTCTACATCAAAAATACATTTCTAAATAAAAAATACCTGCTGCTCCGGGCATAGATGGCCTAGTGGTTAGGTCGGCGGCTCCTTTTTCCCCCGCATGTTCTCTCTCTCTCTCTCTCTCTCTCTCTCTCTCTCTCTCTCTCTCTCTCTCTCTCTCTCTCTGCTTTACAGTCTTTTGACATCCTCTCAAGTCAAATTTTCTCCCCTGCTGGTGGCTATAAAAGATGAAAACTGTGATTTTAACTGATACTTGAATACGTATTTTCTCATTACCTTTTAATTAGCTGTATTGTGATGTATAAATCTCTTCCTATTCTTGTTTTCTTTATATTTTAAGTGCTTATTTATGTATCTATTCTTATATTGTTTTGTTCGCTCTGATAACCTGCTGCTCTAACACCACAATTGACCAGTTTGGGATCAATAAAGTTATTCTATTCTGTCATGTATCCCTTCTGTTCCTGATATCTTTTACAAATTGAATTTGTATGTTTTTCTGATCTTGCCCTTTGGTCTCTGTTTTGTTCCATATTTATCCTATTTCTTGGTATTATTGTAGAAGTTTTGCACTTGTTTTGTTTGATTTTTTTATAATCAGAATATAAGAATAATAAGAATTACAAGTACCTAAAACTTGTGCTTGTGTGAATGTACTTTTGCTGCACTGCATCAGATTTGTTTTGTTGCTTGCATGTTGTAGACTGATTTTCCATTCATCAATAAAGCAGATCGATAGAGACAGAGCTGAGGGGGGGAGAAGGGGGGAGAGAAGGGGGTGTGGGATGTGGATGGAGTGATGGCTGCAGGTCTCAAACTAACAAACCTGATAAATAAGTCGAAAAAGTGATAATAAAACGTGCACATGCGCAGTAGATACTCACCTTTCTTGAACTCCTCCAGCATGGCGTCCAGCTTGGTGTCGTGAAACACAAAGTGCACCGGGTGGTTGTAGAACTTGGTGATGGTCTTCAGGGTGGTGCAGTCATCCGGGTCCACGAAGGCCAGGTCCTTCACGTACAGGATGTCCACGATGTTGGACCTCTCGTCGTCATACACCGGGATGCGCGTGTATCCACTCTCCATGATCTCCGACATGGTGTTGAAGTCCAGAACCGCGTCCGCCTGGATCATGAAGCAGTTCCCTATGGGGGTCATCACGTCCTCCACGGTCTTGGTCCTGAGCTCCAGCGCGCCCTGGATCATGTTGAGCTCCTCTTTCACCAGGTCGTTGTACGGCTCCGTCACCTTCAGCATCCCCACCAGCTTCTCCCGGTTGTACACGGTCCCGATCTCCTGACCCAGCAGGACGTCCAGGAGCTTGCTGACCGGGAAGGACACCGGGAACGTGAGGAACATGAAGAACTTGGTGACCAGGATGGTGTTTGCCCCCACGGCCAGCCCGTGGCGCGAGCACAGCGCTTGGGGGACGATCTCCCCAAAGATGACGATCCCCACGGTGGAGGCCACCACAGCCCCGAGCCCGGATCCGATCAGGTCGTCGAGCAGGATGGTGAGCGTGGTGTTCACCAGGACGTTGCCGAGCAGCAGCGAGCACAGGAGGTAGTTACCTTTGCTGCGGATGGGTTCGATCTTCCGCGCGTAATTCTTCTCCTTGTCGGTGCCGCAGCTCTGCACGATGCGCAGCTCCATGGGGTCCAGCGCCATCAGGCCCAGGTTCAACCCGGAGAACATCCCGGAGAGGACCAGCAGACAGGAAATGAGGATGCCCTGCAGCCATAGGGGCAGCAGGGACTTCTTCTCCTCCACCACCAGCAGCCTGCCATCGCTGTCCCCCAGCAGCACCCACCTGCTGCCGTCCGCGCCGCTCGCCGTGCACACCGCGTACTCCTTCTGCGGCTCGCTCTTGCGCAGCGGCTTCACGTGCACGGTGAGCAGCCCGGACGTGCCCCTGCTGCTCACGTTCATGAAGGTCCCGACACTGATGTCTTTCGTGAAGTCAACACAAGTCCTGTCCGGTCCCTCCATCATGCCGCTGCTGCTGCCTCCTCTCGCAGCCGCCACCGCCGCCGCCGCCTCCTCCTCCTCCTCCGCGTCCGCTCCCGCGTCCTCCCCTTCCGCGAGCTCCGTGAAGCGGATCTGCGTCCAGGCGCCCGAGTGGAGCTGCACCCCGTAAAACCGGAGCTGAACGGAGCTCTCCTCTGTCACCTGGATGACACCGTCGTCATTGGTGCTGGCCGGCTTGTCGCTCCTCTCCAGCCGCATGCCGAGCACCTCGCTGCCGCCGGTCCCCGCCGCCGCCGCAGCCGCAGCCGCCGCCTCCGTGCGCCCCCCGACCGCGCTCCACAGGCAGATAACGACAGTGAGAATGTAACCCTGCTGCCCGCTCCATTCTGTCGCCATGTTTGTTTCACTGCTCGGCGACCTGGGGGCTGACGTCATTTACTCATGTCCGTGCGGCTCCGCCCCCCCGCCGGCCCATCAAACACACACACACACACACACACACACACACACACACACACACACACACCCATTAACACCGCCTACCGGACAGTGACAGGTAGAGCTAATAAACAAACACACACTCCCCCTTTTTTCTACCTCACACCCACATTTTACAGTCTGTGTTGCTGCACTCTTTGGTGCTGCAGCAAGTGGAGGTAAACACCACCCAAAATATGCATGCACTCTGCGTCACCCCCCCCCCCCCCTCCTCCCCCCTCCTTGTTATTGTCTGTCAGGCTCGGGGCAATGCGGCGCGCTCGGATGCTGCTGCTGCTGTTTTTTGGACAGCGGTTTTATCATCCAATCAATTGCATCCGGAGCCAGCTGCTGTTATGTAAAGGCAAAAGGCAACTGTGCACCCCCATCATCTCCATCATCTCCCCCCCTCCTCCCCCTCATCCTGCACCATCATCCCGCATCCCTCTGGCTCAGAGCCCGGTGCGAGCTGCAGACACTCAGCAGAGTTTTCTCCATGCAGCGTCTGAATCACCAATAAAAATAAAATTGTAACAACAACAACAACATTTTATTATAGAACATTCACTTTCTGTCTACTCGTTTATTAACCTTCTTTAGTTATTATTAGCTCCTAATATTCATGATCTGCAGTTACGTAATACAGACATGACATATCTCGCTGTCCTTGCTTACACTGCCACGCCCTCTAGTGGTCAGAGATGGTAAATGATTTTTGTCAGTGGAAAAAAAAAAATACAGTAATTTCCCCCAAATTGTGCAGTAATACAAATTAATTGTGTAACTACAAATAAAATATTTATCCTCAAAAAAGCTTTGCTAAATAAAGGTTAAATGAATAAAAACAAGACATTTAAATTGAATTAGATGTTTATTGATAATTAATTTATCGTGTCATATTGTTTTATGTTTATGTTCTACTGTGACTTCACTTTGTCCTACAAATTAAAATCACAGTAAACATTCCTTTGACACTTCATCAGGTAAACATGAACACTATAACGCAATCAAATACAGACATGTTTGAATATTATGATGTGCAGTTCATTTAATCTTAATTTAAAGGCCCTAGAAATCTGATTGGCCACCCCAAAAATACTAAACTGTCATTGGCTATTTGCCCTGTAAGAGGCAGACAAGATTTCTAGCAAAAGGCTGCTAGTTTTTTTCTTTAAATATCAGTACAGAATATTTTTATTTTGTTGGTAAATAAAAACTTTGCACATCTATTTAATAAGCTAGGTGCATGGGACAGTAATGGTCAATGTGTCGGGACCAAAACATTGCAAGTGAGACCGTGTGCAGGAGTTTGCATGCACATTTTTCCGTACTTTAAAGTGTGACTTTGAACACAAGTCTTGTTTTTGTGTCGTAAAAAATTAGGCTAATGTTGCCATTATCTTGTGAAGAGTTGATGTGATTGGTGAAGTTAAAAAGGGTAAATACTTTATATATTTTATGTGTGTTTTTGTCCACACATGACACCCCCCCTGCAAAGGTCAGTACTCCGGTTGGGCCACCCCAGTCTTAAAAGTCTGAACACACCCCTGATGAAAAAAGACTGATCAGGTTAATGTTCACATTAGAAACTGTAACGATGACACACAGAGGACTGATTATGTTAATTAGAGAAGATTGAAGTTCAGCAGCTCTTAGATTCACTTTAACATTTATGATAATGATAAAAGACGTGTGTATACATATATATTTTCCTTTCTGTTGGTCTGTTCTTCCCGTGCCTCACATCATGTAGCTTTCTTTATCTCAAGCTCCTTGTCATTCTGACTGTAGTGTATAGAGGTGTGAGTGTGTGTTTGTGTGTGTTTGTGTGTGTTTGTGTGTGTGGATGGGCGTCTGTTGTCGATGTGCTTTTGAGCGTGGAAATTTGTTTGTTTGTCTGTGGCAAAAATGTGCATTCTAACCAAGGTGGACATCACAAAGGTGGAGTGCAGGATTTGAGTTCCTTGTTTGATTGTCCTACGCTCCATATTTGTATCTGTAAAAAATGTTGATAGAGATGATAAAAGGCAGATATTGATAGTTGTAGCTCTTAGATTCCATTTAGCATGTTCATGGTGGTTTGTCTGTAAGTATAGGTTGTCTCTGTTCTTTTCTGTCCCACTGCTGGGGGCTGGGAGAAAAGCATTTCATCTTTTTTTTTCATGCATGTACATCCACGAGCAAAAATGACAAATAAACAGAATCTTGAATCTTTTATGTTGTCTTTAAATTATTGAAGAAGAGAGAGTCAGGGAGGCTCTGCTGTGTCAGTTCATGTTGTTGTTCCCCAGCCTTGGTGAAATGCTGAACTTTTGTTTGAGTTTTTTTTTTAAAACTTGTAGAAGAACGATAATCGCTAATCTGAGAAATCTGTAAAAAGTGACAATCAACAGTTTCTGTTTTTACACAGTTTCTGCTTTTATTGAAAATCTCATTAATATACAAACTAAACGTAACAAAAGTTCTTCATAAATTAAACAATCACTTTGTAAATTCTGGTCTATTTAAATAAAGCTCTGAGACACAAAAAGTCTAGTGATCCGTTCACTAACTTTGACATACATTCTCTCATGTGTCTGTTTGAGTTTTGACCAGGTGAAATATACATTTTTCAGAGTTAAAAAACATATTTCCTGAGGTTCATCTCTGAAACAGGTGACAGTAACAGTTTCTGCAGATTATGCCTCTTCAGGAGAAATTTTGAGGCTGTTGTTGTTGTTGTTGTTGTAATACTCACATTGACCACAAGAGGCCGCGATGCACCAAGCCGCTAAATTGGTGCGTTTTAATTCCTTCAAACTCAGTAAACACATGTTCATATTTTCTATTGTGTATAAGCAAATATTAACACAATTTTTTTTTTTGTACCAGGCTGTAAGCATGTTAATTTATGATGTAAAAATGGCTTTTTTTGCCTGGTGTGTGTATGTGACTTCCTGTGTTCCTGGAGCCAGCCTCAAGTGGACACTCAACGAACTGCAGGATTTTGCACTTGCCCACTAAAGCAATGAAATAAAACAAATCGATGCATTACAGCCTCTTGTGGCCAAATCGAGTATTACAACAGCATTAAAAAATGTGTTTATATTCTGTAAAAACTATTTGAACTGCAAGTTTTTTTATTTCATTATTTTAAACTGATTAAATTTTAAGAAAGACCTCGTGGAACGATTGTTGGGGGACGTAACTTTTCATCTGTTCGTCAGTCGTAAAACAGGAAAACAATGATCCGACATAGAAAACAAATCAAAAGATAATTTTCATCTCTTGCCTCTCAGGATTTCTTTAGTTCATTAAAAAAAACCTTCATTGTAACACATCATAGTACTCTTTTTTCAGCTGATTTAACATAGACCAAAATAAGAAGAAGAGCATAATTATACAAAAATCAAAAACATGATCTCCGCTGGATCAATCACCTCCAAGTGAGTAACTTTACTCATTTTGTGTCCTCAGTGTGCAAGTCGTCCGTTTTGGTTTTCCAAAACAATTCAATTCAGTCAATATGCTGCAGTATAGTCATATATAAAAGTTTATATAATTAATTACAAAAACATGACTACGCTTAAGAAGTTGTACCTTCTACATAAATTAATATACAAGTTCAAGTGGTTTCTGGTTTGAAATGTTAAACAAAACATTATCTATGTCAGAAAATTAAAAGAAAAAATGTCATTTTTAAATATTATGGATGGGAGAAGTGTGAAGAAGTGTCTGAGTAGAAACATGTAAAAGCTTTCTGGTCAGCTTTTAACAAAACGTAGAGAAAGTAAGAGGGAATGGAAGGAGAGATAGTTTGATGTACATTCCTGTATTCTAAGATGTGTATATGTCATAGACTGTAAATATTAAGGTACTGTATATCCGTGTTTATCAGAAGAGGATGTTATCACTGCAGCCGTCTGTCTCCGGTCTTGTTCACTGCAGTCATCTGTCCATCCGGAGGAGGAACAACCTCGACTTTGTAGCTGATCCTCTTGGAGTGAAGGATGCTGTAGCTGTTATCGAAACACAACACGTCTGCACAGAGTGAAGGACAGAGGAGACAGGGTTAGCAGCTAGCATCCTACAGGGTTTTAAAAAGACAGTTTATTTTTTCATAAACATGCCTTACTCACTCTCCATGAGTAAGATCAGAAGATCAGGAGTGTGTCCAGAGATATTTGCCAGGGCTGGCATAAGGTATGAACACAAATGAATATTATCTAGATTAACTATTTCTATTTGCACTTATTATATCTTCTTATGTTACTGGTTTGAATCCCAGTCGGCCAGAGCCTCTCTGTGTGGAGTTTGCATGTTCTCCCTGTGCATGTGAGGGTTCTCTTAGGGTATTCCGGCTTCCTCCCACAGTCCAAAGACATGCTGGTTAGGTTAACTGGTGATTTTAAAATTGCCCGTAGGTGTGAATGTGATTGCGGCTGGCCTCTATATGTCAGCCCTGTGATTGACTGGAGAACAGTCCAGGGCGTACCTCGCCTCTCGCCCAATGACAGCCGGGATTGAAAGTGTTGTGTGATATTTCTTGGCTGGCATCACTTTCTGGTTTTTATTACATGTAACGGTAAAAACAACAACAAATCTAGATAGTTGATGCTGTCAGCCAAGATAAAGTTGAACATAAATAACAGCATTAATCTTTTTAACATCAGCTTTTTCTCCCAATTCAGGACACAAGATATAAAATGTTAACCGGTTGGATTTTGTAAAGTTCTAACAAGCAAAACTAGCTGTTTCCGCCTCCCCTGCTTAATGCTAAGCTAAGCTAATTTAAGTAGTCTTCTGTCGTGTAGTAAGTGTACAAACATGGGTATCATTCTTCTCGTCTAAGTCTCAATAAGAAGGTGAGAGTATTTTTCAATAAGTTGAACCACTTGTTAAGATTGTCAGGAACTTAAACTAATGAAATGTTTCAGTTTCAACATTTGATATGTTGTCTTTGTGCTATTTTCAATTAAATCTGAGGTTTCCATGTTTGCCTCTTATTATGTTCTGTCCAAGAACATAATCTTACTTTCTGAACTATCCTACTTATTTTAACCCGTGCAACAATCTTTTCTTACCATAAGTTTGTGTTTTTAATCTTGAAATGTTGCTGTTGGTTACATAGAAGGATATAAAAATGTTTTAAGAACTTGTTGTTACCTTCAGTAATTATTTTAGTTCTGTGGGTCTTTGTAAATAATATAACAAAGAGTACTGTCTAGACCTGCTCTTCTTGTACAGTGTCTTCAGATAACATTGGTTATGAATTGGCGCTATACAAACATTGATTGATTGATTGATTGATTGATTGATTGATTGATTGATTGATTGATTGACCTCAGTCAGTTTTTAATTGAGTGACCTTTCTGCCCCAGATACAAGTTGATTATCTCTGCATCAGTGATTAACAGGAAACGATCAGCCTGTAATCCAACAATCCTTTAACCGATAAATTACGTGTGTGGTGACTCACAGACTCCGGACTCGGGGCAGCTGAGGCCGCCGTCTTCAGGGACCAGGTGAGCGTTGTAGCGCTCGCTCGGCAGCACCTGCAGCATCTCGGCCACCTTCTGAGCGGCGCCCTCTTTGGTCCGTCTGTAGACTCCGAACCCGATATCTGCCCCGTCGCTGGAAAACTGCCACCTGAGAATAAACCAGGTTAAACTTAATCTAACAAAATGTTGTTTTTTACTTTAAAAATCTTATAGAAAATAAATTTAAAAAAGTATTCTCAGCACATTTCATAAAATATGGAAGTATCATGTATGTTTTTTTGAGTTGCTGAAGAGGAAATAAAAGATAAAATGATGTTAAATGTGCTCAGATTTGATGCTAACTAGCTACCTCAGAAGGCTGCTGGGCGTCTTAACATCATACTCCAGCTGGAACATGGAGCCGCGGCTGATGGTCACGCTGTTGTCGTACTGAACTTTAATCGAGTCCTGAACGTAGTACGACCTGGGTACTGTACCGCCGTATTTTATCTGCAACAACATGAATAAGAAATATTTCAATCACCGTCATTAGAGAGACGACACGATGCTCGCTTTGGCACCAACTATTGCATCTTTTTGCTCTCACCATGGTTTTGCAGTGAGGGTCTCCATCAGGATCCGTCAGGGTTCCTCCGTACGCGACAGGAAGCTGCTCTGGGTCGATATGTTTACGTAACACTTCTTGCCAGTTACCTAGCAACAGAGTTATGTTTTATAAGTTAAGAATTAACAGTCAGTAGACTTGTTTTCAGCCATGCCAACAGAAAGTTAATTCTGCTCACCAAACAGAAATATTTCAACAAATGAGCGGTGTTAAATTCTTTGCAGATACTTCAGAGACTTCAATTGTCTTGTAAAAATAAATCTAATTTTTTGTACACTCTGGGATGCAAAGAAAAGTTGTCTCACCTCCTAATATGACGATCTTACGCCGTGTTTCCTCACACAGGAAATGTTTGATCAGGTTGTAGGCCATTGGAAACATTCGAGGAGCTGCAGCAAAGACAAATATTAGAGTAGAGGAAGTCACCACCTAAAGGACAACTTCAAACCTAGAGGACACAATATTGAAATATACAGATCTACTGAAGTACCTTTGATAAGAAACACTCTTTTCAGCCCCTCTGGGTAGTTTTCTTCAAACATGGTGAGGATCTAAGCGAGAGGGGGGAAATAAATAATAAAATGGAGGGATTTTATTTGGATGACACACAGGGATTACGATGCAACAAGCAGACACACCTCTCCATAAGCCTCGATAGCAGGTTTCCAGATGTGTTTGAGTCCCAGTCCTTCACAGTCGTAGATCAGAGTGATGGCTTCAATGTTCTTCTCCAACTGAGACAGAAGAGGAGACGGTTAAGGAAAATTTAGAGGAGAAGAAAAGACAAGAGAAGAGGAAAGAAAGCTGATTTAATAGATGGATAAGGAGGAAAAGAACAGGCAAATGATGAGAGGAAAGGAAATGAGAAGTAGAAGAGAAGATAGTAGAGAAGAAGAGGAGAGAGGAAACTAAAATACACAAAAAAAGAGCATCGGTCCCTTACCTTCTCTGCCTGCCTCCGACACTCCCTCTGCATTATCTCCGTGTGTCTGATCTTCGTCTTCATGAAGTCTTGTTTGGTGGCCGACAGCAGCAGACCTTTAGGATCCAGAGGACCAATCACATCGTACCAGATGGGACTCCCCTCTTTGTCGTACCCACACATCCCTCCAGAAACATACTTCTCTATCACCTGTGCACCAAATACACCAGGAAGAAAGGGTAAATCATTATCATTATTAACACAGAGGGATAAGATGACTGCAATGCATGCACAAGTATAAACACAACAACCAGCCAAATTTACAATCTAAACTTACAAAATGTGTCATGTTCCTTAATGCATTTTAGAAATGTATACCTCTGGAGGTTTCCAGTCGGATATGATGCTGTCTACATTCATCTTCCTCCTGAACTCCACATGCTTCAGAGAGAGAGAGAGAGAGAGAGAGAGAGAGAGTCACATTCTGCAGCTTTGCAAACGAACATGACTAAAAATAACACGACCGAGTGTGTAAAGTGTTTAAAGACAAAGCTCACCTTCCTGACCATGGCTTCAGATTTGTGAATGTTGAAGCTTCGGGCTGCAAAAAAAAAGATTGACAGTTTAATATGGGTGTTAAAAGGATCCCGGAGCTTTTCAAGCAGGCAGCCTCAAGTGGACACTCGAAGCGCTGCAGCTTTATGCACTTCTGCATTTGGCTTCATTTTTCAACACCGCAGGTTGCTGCTTCGATAGGATGCACATTACTGTTAGGAGCCCTACTTTTGTCTTTTTTTATTAAACAATGATGCTTGTTTCGGATAAAGCTAATTTACTCTGTTTGCAGATGATACCATGATGTATATACCATGTCAATTTAAGTTCAATGAAATAATTCTCTGAAGCATTAACTGAATTTGATTTTAAATGATGGTTAACAAAAACTATAGAAAACTAAACAAACTAAGCGTCCAAGATCAAATGTTTGATTTATTGTTTTGCTCTTTGTGGAGTAACCGTATAAAAAGAGCTGATTAAATAAATAGTACGATATCTTTTATAAGTGATTGCTGGTTGTATCTTTAACCTATTTCTCTGCTGTTACTCATTACCAATTTGTAAACACTGCACCAGTTCTACCCCTGCAGCCTCTGATAAAAGTACAATAGTGAAGCTGATTCAGCCAGTTTGCCTTTTTTTTTTTTTGCCCCGTCCAAAGTTAACAGAAAAGGTAAATATTGAACAGCGGACACGGCCTCACAAACCTCCCAGAACTATGGAAAACTAAACAGACAAATTGTACTCAATGTACTCTCTCTACTAGTTCAACAAAAAACAAAAAAACACTGTAGATAATCCTCCCAGTGTCTCCCAATAGACACAGTGATGTAAAAGAACGACAATGCTGCATCTTTGAATGTGCGATTAATCACAATTAACTATTGAAATTGAGCGCTTAATCACAATAAAAACATGCAATCGTTTGACAGTACTAATATAAACATATCCATATCCCGCAATGTCTTATCAGCCGTGGAAGTTAAAGAAGCCAGGCTTAGTTGTAAAAAAAAAGTAAATTCACCACAAACGCGTAGAGCTTCACTTTAATCTTACTCTGCTCAGCTTAAAACTAATATTTACTATCGGATAAGATCACTGGTTGAACCCTAACCCTACTGGCTAAGTACGCTCTCATGGCCTCGAGGTCAGAGGAAGGATTATTACAGGGAATTAAATAACTGATTAACCTAGAGTAGGCCGGAGATGTTGTCAGTTATATAAGTTTTCTAAGAATGTATCTCAAATTGTTCCTCTTACAAATGGAAAGTTGAATTGATCAGATAAAAAAACAACTCCCCTCTCAGTGTTACACACAGGATTTGACCCTGGTCTGGTCTGATGATTTGGTTATGGTGCAAACTTTTGACAGATTTAAGCCTTTTATGGCTCTTTCATTTGGGCCTACAGCATTTTGATGTCATCTGAAAACAAGGTGATGCTGTTCACAAAAAGTGTGTTAAAAGGTTTAAGTGCTTTCCTGCCAAGAATAAGATAAGGAGATTGTTGCCACGCTTGTGTCTGTCTGCAGAGCCAGGAGGGGTTTATAACTGTCTGTTTAATGTCTGTCTGGATTGTATCTGTTTGTTGATTAGGGCCAGAGAACCGACCTCTGAGCGAGGACCCATCAGACCCCGATGTGCATCAAACAGTGTTAGCTTAGTTTAGCATAAAGATATGAAGCAGCAAACCTGGAAAACTTCCTTGTTAAAAACGTGTTTGTGTTTCTTTTGTCTTTGGCAGAAATCAGACTCGTTCCCCATGTTTTCATTCTCTGCTAAGCTAAGCTAAGCTAAGCTAACCAGTGCTTGGCTGTAGCCTTACATTTCATATCTCCGGGAAAGTTTCAACAAAAACTCAACTTGTTTTTAATTGCTGCTGAAAAGGATATCATGTCACACCTTCTGAATCACCAAGGCCAGGTTTTTTAGAGCGCTGACCGACACACCTAGCTCCCCTTTAGTAATGCAAATAATCATCCCACTGATATTTCCAGTATCAGTTTCTTGACACCCAGAGTAGTCCGGGTGGGGTTTTTTCACCATGAAAGGGGAAAACAAAGCTGTGTTGAGACCATTCAGGTTGAAGGGGGGCCGTGATATTGTGTTTATTTGACTTTATTAAGGTTTCAGATCATATAAACTGAGAGGAGAAGTTAATTGTTTATGGAAAGCAAAAGACCAGAAGCTGATATTTACTGTAAATTAACTGAGTACATTTATTCAAGCTCTGTTTTTATTCACGTCAGTATTTTTCTCTACATTTTACTTCTATTCTAGGGATATTAAAATACATTTGTTGTACAAATTTTGTTTGATATTTTTTAAACTGTCGCTCAGTTGGTAAAGTCGGTTGTCTCTCAACCTGAAGGTCAGGGGTTCGATCCCCAGCTCCTTCAGCTATATGTCCCATGTGTCCTTTGGCAAGACACTGAACCACAAATTGTTCCCGCTGCTTTGTTGTCAGTGTGTGAATGTGTAGGTGTGACCTTCTTTGTGAAAGCGCTTTGAGCGGTCAGAAGACTGGGAAAGCTCTATACAAGCTCAAGTCCATTTATCAGTTACCAAATATATTTTTATTATGTATTGTTTATTGAAAAGTGTTTAAAATGTTTCTAAAAAAACTAAAAAATCAAGATTGCGCCGCCCTACTGGTTGCTTGTTACAACAGCTCTTGCCCGTCAGTGTTTTTTTTCCCCCTTCCTGCTGAAGTCAGACTGTTTCAACAGACCGGCTCCCAGTAGATCCAGAAACACACACACAAGCTGGACACAGTTCACTCCAACCATGTGTGCATTATTATCATGTCTTTTCAAGTAACGACGTCTTTGATGATTGGTTTTGCACCAAAACACAATAAATCTAATTCCTTGTAAATTTAAACAAACTTGGCACTAAACTGGATTCTGATATTTCTACACTCTCCTCATAAAACAAGTCTCAGGTTTAAATGATCCAAACTGAACAATAATGATTGGCTAGAAACAAATCACTTTATTTAAAAAAGGATCAAACTTTGGAGTCTGAGAGCTCCAGCAAACTTGCATCTAAAAAAAACAAATAGGGTCTGCAGCTCTGGTATTTTACCCCCACAGTCGTCCACTGAAACAGGCTGTGGAGTCAAGTGTAGAAACACAGGAGCAGGTTTGTTTGAAGCAGCTTTGAACGTCACAGAGTTTACCCCAAAGTGAGCGTAGCCTCAGTTGTAAACTCTCACAAGCATCTGAAATATTTTATATCACGACGGCCAATCACACCGAGAGAAGAAAGTGAACTATTGTTGTTTCTTTCTCGTCAGTCGGGGACTTTTAAACTCTGACAGCAGCAGGAATTATCTTTTCATTCTCAGAGCAACTATTTAAAACAAAACTATGCGAGATGATTAGAGGTGAAATATCTTTTCAGTAGCATTTTAGAGACATCTTAATCTTGAAAAAAAAGGCAATTTACTGCAGTTTTACCCCAAAAATATGAATGCATTGTATCTCCCCTGGCTGATTTCTTTTTATTCGGATGCAAAAAGTAATAAGGAAAACAGAGTAACTTGCAACTGCAGCTGCAGTGAGGTACAAACTTGTAGCGAGTTTGCATGAAAAGGAAAGTGTTGTTTTTTGAGTGCAGAAGTATCTTTAACATGTAGTTGAATAAATGTACCAAATTACAATTATTTATTGTATACAAGTGATTTTTAATATCTATTTTAATCTCCCCTAAAAAGTGTCTTAAGTGTTAAGTCAGTGAGACATCCTGCAGCCTCATATCTGTAAATCTTTGGCAGTTTTCCCGCCTGCTGTCGTTCTACATTCTTACTAGAAATAAAGACATCTCCTCATACCTCGACAGGTGGGTGTGATTGTTGTTTTGCTATCATCATACCCGCAGAGAGACGATGGTAAATACTACACAGAGTGGGCAGCATGTAGTATTTGTGTGTGTGTGTGTGTGTGTGTGTGTGTGTGTGTGTGTGGGGGGGGGGGGCATGTCTCACCTCGGAGCCAGCGCAGGAGGTAGTGGTCATGCTGTGCAGGCAGGTTGGGGAGGATGTCCTGGATTTTACTCCGAAACTGAAAACAGAGAATAAAATCAATAAAACAATAAAAAAAGTTACTTTAAAAAGAAACAAACAAAAAAAAACAGTCCTAAGGAATATTTCTGTTTGCATTTGACACTTCTCTGATTTTCTTTCCAAGGGTAACATGAGAAGTTTGATATTTATGTTTGTACACCAAACAACAAAGTGTAAAAATCTAATTTCCCCTTGCAGGAATAATAGAGTATATCTTCTCCTTCTTCTTCTTCTTCTTCTTTAAAATGTAAAGCTACAACCAGCAGCTTGTTAGCCTAGTTTAGCAAAGACACTTGAAACCGCTAGCATGGTGTTTTCAAAAGGAAACAAACTCAACAATCTACAGTCTCTAGAGCTCAATATCTAAGACGTGACGAAGCTGATACAATAACAATGACCAAAAGGTCACAGCTTCAGGTCAAGGAGCTGCTCTGCACATTAACGTACAACTAATACAAAAATAAACCTCAATAACTGAAAATCCATACAGCGATAATTACTCTCGCCATGATCCATAGCATCCAAACAGAAACATATACACAAAATATTCCATTAGCAAACCCTGTAAACGACTCTCCTGTAATATCATTTTACAAGGTCAACAGGTGGATTATTCCACGTACGCGTCGGCCAATCAACCGGCCAGTTTCAAGTAGCTGACAGGAAGCTTGGATCCACCTTTTTGTACTCAGTAACAGATGTTGTTTAAAATGTAGAAAAGGATAAAACTTCCCCCAAAATACACTTCAATAAAGTCAAATTAATGATTTAAAAACCTACTTAAAAAGTAAGAATACACAAAAAGCTACTAAATTACAGTAACATAGAAATATTATATAAAGACACAATAAAATACACATACAACAACACAACAAGATTTTCATTTCTATTAACATCTAATTACATACCGTGTCACTAAAGTTTAATTTTTAGGGTTTGAGTTTTCAAACTTTAAGCCACTTGAGTTTTATACAAGATGCATCCACTAAACGTATTCTTATCTAGCTTTTACTTCATTTGATTGATGATTAAGTCTTATTTTTGTATCTCGTCTTTATTCGTCTTATTCTAAGTGATGGGTTACTTTATCTAGTTTTTTACTAAAGGTATTTTCTCTGTAGTATTGAGCTCTGTTGTCACTTTGTCATGTTTTTGTCCTGTGCTGTCATTTGTGTTTAAAAGGAGGCCGACTCACACAAATAAAGTTACCTCAAACACAAGATTTTATTTAAACCAAAATAGATTTTTGTGTTCTGTCTTTATCTCAAACCCCTGACACTAGACCTTACCTTAGACTGATGAACACGTTTAGGGTATCAGAAGGCCTATTGGGTAAAAACAACAACATTTCCCACATGAAATGTAGAGAGGTAAATCATGCAGTGAACACCTGCGTAAAGTAGAGAAACTCTTAACGTGTAGAGAGGATGTTGTTTTCATACACCACAGAGGTGAGAATCCCTCTAATAAAGAAAGCAATGATAGTGCAAACACACTGAAGTTACCGTAGGAACAATCTGTTACTACAACAGAAGCAACCATAGCTGCAGCTGAGTTAAGGAAAAATATTAATCTCAAGGTTTATAGATTATTAAAGCCCTCAGTGGCATCAAAGATTTAATTTTTAAAAAACTCACCTCAGCTAGGATTTCCTCCTGCTTTGGGCTCAAATCGCCGACTCGTCCGCTCATGTCTGAGGTGTCGTGTTGCTCCAACAGAAGCCGAGATGTGAATGAACCGGCGTGGAGGGGAAAACAGGTAGACGAGGAAACACCACGCCTCCCTGGACACACCCACGAGCACACAGGTTTACACACGTCACTTTTTAGGGGCCTTATGTAAACTTGAAATCACCTCCTGGAGACCTCCCATAACTTTAAACCCAACTCAACCGCTGACCCCCCCAAAAATGAGCTCTTTCTTAAATCAGGACGCGGAATTTGACCCCAATTGGATAAGCTGTCCCCAATTAACTGGTCTGAAGTCTGTGTCCCCAGAAGACACAAAAACACACACACACATACTGACACACAGACAAACACACTTTTTGTAGGACCTTATCCCTTATGTGAAGGTGCTTACTATGACAAACAAACTTCATAAGCTTGTGAATATAACTTGTGTGAGAAGATCAGACGTAAAATAATAAAAAAAAAGTAATTTCATAATTTGAGTGTTTTTGGACATGAAAATAAAAGAAATACAAAAATTAAAAATGTGAAAACTTAAAGGTCCTGCGAGGAGTTTTTTACTACTCATGGATTGGAGTGAAAATAAAACTGATGCCTCTTTAAAGCAAACAAAAAGAGTATTGATCATTTCTATTAATTAATCATTGATGCTTAAAACTGCTGCAGTTGCGGGGTCGGGGTCAGACACAGATTAACACAGAAAAACATTTAGATTATTGATTAGTTTGAATGATTTTTGTCAGAAAACACAAGATACAAGAAGAGGACTAAATCAGAGCAGAGTACAGAGGTATAGTTTTGTCCACAGGGGGCGCCAAAGTCGACACAAACTGAAAGGTCCTCGGAGGAGCTTTAAAGGCAGGGTTGGTCATTTTCTTAAAAATACACTTTTTAAGAATTTGGTTGAAATTGTCTTTAGGTCCTGACAGAAATTAATAATTCATGCGCTCTGAAAAAGGAATGAAGAAAATCTGTCATCTGTAGCAGTTGTAACCTGTAAAAACGTTGCACAAGCTGAGGTCCACTTCTGGAGTAACGGTGCTCGTGCATGCAGGGGCTTTTGAGGGAGCACAGAGGGGAGGGGGTGTAGAGCTAGATGCAGCACTGAGGGCTACTTTCAAAATCATACTAGTTTAGGAAAATTACCAACCCTGCCTTTAATCTGAAAATTATAAAAGTTTTAATAACTACATTTTGTCAATGCTAACTGACAATAAAGATGACAGTTTATACTTTTAAGGATGTCCCAGATGTTTTTTTCAATGGTTAAGAGCACAGACAAGATTACAAAAGATATAATTTTTCTTCATAAAACTCATTTTATTCGTTAAATACATGAGCTAATCAGAAACCGATCAGGACCCAGATACCAGGTTCACCAAATAAAGCTGGTGCTTATGAATAAATAGATGATTTACACATAACACGTCAACAAAAATAATAATAATCAGAAAGCATAAAAAGTACTTCTCATTTTGACAAAGTGGATAGTTGCTTTAATCGTCCTAGAAAGAAATTTAGTTACCTTCAAATATGACGACTGCTGCAGACAATATAGAGATGGATACATGTCTCATTCATTCTCCAAACTGCAAAATTCAAATAATGTTAGAAAACGAAAGCTGCAGAAAAACTGCTCGTGCATGTTTGAGCCGCATGTCGGAGGTGAAATGCGTTAACTCTCCCCCCCCCCCCCACGTGTGGTATCAGACTTCCTCTTCAAACAGACGTCTTTGTGAAGTGAAGCAGGTCAAACAACGACCAACACGCCCGTTGGACCGGACAAGAGAATGTCGATTATTCTGATAAATATTTCCAACTTCACTATAATGAAGCTGTGAGCAGATATAACTGTTTAATAACGTATTACTTAATGATTATAACTGCACCTGGGGGGCATCCATACATTACAGGTGTTGTATAGATCGATATAAATTTCAATACCAAGAAAAACTTTTGTTTTGATAAAATGTGTCTTTATAAGTGAAACTGCAACTTCAGATCAAATCAGCTTTTAAATAAACACTGAAATTGTCCTTTAATCTGCTTTTCACAACAATATAGTGTGTAAAATAAATATGTAATGTCCTTTCATAATCAACATATTGGTCGTATCCACTAATGTCAACACAAAGTTTTGGGACAATCCAACCCATGGAGGTTTTATTGAAACTTTAATATCAGTCCAAACAGCAGGGCTTCTTCAGTAAAATCAAGAAAAAAGGGAAACACATGTCCAACTTCTGTTTACGTTTTTGGTGTGCAGCCCTTTCTCTGCGTTTTTTAAAATCGCCCCTTTTCCTGCCCAAATATGACGACTCCATCATTTAAACATTCATGATAAAAAGAATAATTATTCTCTGTGTTTGCAGCAACTTTGCAGAACATGAAAAACGAACGTCTGGCTTCTTTTTTTTGTGAAAACTTTACCTGTAAATGTATCTATATGCATTGATTTTTTTGGTGATATATTTTCTACCTCATGTCAAAATGATAAATTACATTTGTTTTTTTTTGTTTTTATCTCAGGTGCTCAGGGAACTTGCTACACAATCTGCAAAATCAATGTAGCCTGCATCCTATCAAAAATATGAACTCTTACTCTGTTTGTTAAAACTTTTATACCAACGACTCCAAAAATAAGTCTTCATTATTAAAAGGACAGAAAAAAAACCAAAAACAATCTGTGTGCATATAGTTCATCTTTTATACATTTGGGCCCAGAGAAAGAACGATTCAAACGACTGGGTCGAGATGTGAAACACAAAGCGACGTGCTGACCTGGTTACACTCTGCAGGGAATTCAATTCTGATTTATTAATTCACAAGTTCTATCGTCATAACAGCACTTGTAAGATAAATTTGGCAGTTCTAATGCAGCTTAATAATTAGAGAAAAAGACAGGAAGCTGGTGAAGAAAAAAAAGGGTGAAGTTTCTCTGTTGGGACATTTGAAACTTGCTGTTGAATAAAGTAAAAGCTGTCTCCTGTTTGAAAGTGCTTTAAAGCTGCTGTGAGCTCCCCAAAACATGTGTGTGAAGTTTCTTGTTCTAAATCCACTCTGATCCTGTATTTGATCATGTCTATAAACCCCTCTATGTCAGCCCTGCTCAGAACAGGCTGTTTCTGTGTCTGTAGCTTTAAATATGTAAATGAGCTGCGTCTGACCACGCCCCCTCTCTGGAAGGGCTTGGGTGGCTCTGGGCTTTCTCGCTCCATGTCCTCTTGTTGACAGTGTAAAGGCAGACTCAGAGGGCAGAACAAACACAGAGCTGTGGGAGTGTCACCCACCTGGGGGAGGGGCTACTGCCCTTTGTGATGTCATGAAGGGAAAATCTCCAAACGGCCTGTTTGAGCACACATTTTCTGAAAAGTGGAGTAGGCACAAGACGGAGAGGATGGACCTTTCTCATAATTGGGGGGTTTGTAGACAGACTAGGGACACATATTAGTGTGAGACAAACATGGTGAAGTTTGCATAATATGTGACCTTGAAAGTAATTAAAATTAAAAAGTTAGAAGACAGCTGAGCTGAGACCTTTGCAATATTTTGGGAAATCTAATCATACGTAATCTAATAAGAGCTGTTTGTTAAACATTGTAGTTTTCTGAGACAGTACACATATAGCACAGAGTATAGGTGATGAAACACAGCAAATGTTAGCACTGATATACCTAAGTTTGATCCAAGAGAGGGTCTTTAAATGTAATCATAGCTGAATGTCCCAAACACACCAGGTTACATTCACTTTATAGCAGAATTTTCTCCTTTGACTAACTCAGATCCATCTTAATTTGAACACAGAACCTGTTATTGACACATAAAGGACCTCATGCAGGATGATCATTTTGGCATGTATGAGTTATTTAAGGGCATTTTGGCATTCCCAAAATGTTGTTGTATTCAGAATTTTCTCCACCAGAACTGACGAGGTGGTGCAGACCTACTGAACGAGTCTTGATGTGCACACTGCAAATCTGTTTTTACTTCAGATCCTACTGAACAGATTTAGCTGTAGTTCAAAAAAACAAAAAAAAAATGGGACAAGAGGATACTGAAATAACACCATCATGATGCAGATTGTAAAAAAGTCTGACTTCATGCAGGTCTGTCCAAAAATCAACAAGCAAGCACCTTCTAAAGAGCTTGTTTTTTTTTCATGGAGACCCTTTCAGATACATCCTCAGGGCAGCAGGAAAATCTCAACACTGAAATGCTTCACAGCTAAGTCTCATACACTTCAGTTAATGAATATTTTCCTGCACTGATAGAAAAACGATAAAAGTTTGCATCATTAGAGGTATGTGATGTGCGGCATTACAAGAGCCCCAGTTCATATTAGGGTCGTCATGATACCAGAAATTTAAAGTTTGATACGATTATTGTAAAAATCAAATGATACCTGATTCGATTCCACGGCAACAAAAAAAAGTCCTAGGCACCAAAATCCTGATCATTGGTATTAAAACTTCTGCACACAGTCCAAATTGCACAAATAATTCTGTACAGAAACAGTGCAATGTTGGTCTGAGACATAAATGTAACTTGAACGCCAAAATGACCTGAAAAAAGGATTAGCTGACACGTGAATTTAAGTGGACTACTGCGGCTCTTTTTATTTTGCTCGAGGCAGCTTTGTTTAAAAATATGAGCGAAGATCTATATTTAAAAATATCTCATGTACTTCTCAGACGATTGATCATTTCATAAATGGACATTGTGTTGTTTTAAACCTTTTGGTATCACAACAACAGCACATATTTTTTTACTGTCTTTGAATTCTTTTTGTAATGATGCTTCCACGTTGTTCTGAACATATCTCTGGAAAGCAATGTAGAGGTGATGATGACACTCAGTAACATCCGATGAACTTGTGTCAGTCATGAGGCTGAAACTAGAGTTTTTTTGTGCAGAGTTTGGTAAATAAGATTTAAGGGAAGCGTGAGAATATAGTAAGTTAAGGGTAAAAATGTTCCTGCATGAGGCCTGAGGTTTCCCCCGTGTCAATTACAAACCAGCATGCTAAATGAAAGTATGGTACCTTGAGGTCATCACTGTGGTCAGCT